AGTTAAATTCAAATGTATTTGATAATGGTACTGCTTTGGAATTCTTGAATACTTCAACGCAGTTTCGTTTCTGCGTCCAATTCAGTCATGTGCGGAATGTAGTATCAAAATGGAAAATTGCGATGCAATGCGGCTCAGAATTTTTGTTCTCTGAAATCCAGTGATTCATCTTCCTGTTTTTTTTTTCAAACTCTGGTATGAAAGAGTGTGAAATGAACTGTGGAACGGAAGGTACACCCAATCAACGACTAAACCACAAAACATTTGATCAGATAATACGTAATTGATACGAGGATATGATTTCATAACGCGATTAATCGGTTTCAGATGAAAATTATGCAGCGAATTCGCCTCCAAGCGCAAAAGTAGACGCTACGAACCGTAAAACTGTGAAAGCATACGAAAATGTTTGAAGGTTGTGCTGAATGAATAATTGCCCGAAAAACTAAGCGAGTTCAGCAAAATCGCTCATTTTCTCGTCTGTCTCAAAGGTTCTGTAAGGCAGACAGACGAATGATAGCCTTGATCCAGACGCAAATTAGCGCAATTACACTGTCCCAGCCACATCTCCTTGTCATTCATGTGCATCATCCATTAAATTCAACCAACAACGACAGAATGATTCATTGAGAAACGATTTTTATCTAAGATACTTGAAAAAATACAAACGTAAACCATTTACGTGACAAGTGAACTGTTACAAGCGTTTCAAAAAACGAACAAACGAAACAAAAAGAATTAACGATACAACACACTCATTAAGGCTCTGTTTGGATGCACGATACGAAAACCGAACAACAAAAATTAAACATTAACAGAAAATGAAAATATTTCTGAAGACGTGTAATGCACGCACAGAAAGGAAAGCATTAATAACAAAACGAATAAAAACTCAACAATTTTGAAACTATCGACAACAATTACTCTGCGAAGTTGATGACAATGCGGTCAGATTGACAGCAAGAAAATTATTCTCGAATGACTCAAATCAGAGTGATTCTTCTTTTCCGTTGAGTAATATCAAATCGGTTTGCTGCGCACGTTGTAATCGCATTTATCGTTCGTTAGAAATAATCTCACAATCAGCAATCGTTTAGGAAAGCATTAATAACAAAACGAATAAAAACTCAACAATTTTGAAACTATCGACAACAATTACTCTGCGAAGTTGATGACAATGCGGTCAGATTGACAGCAAGAAAATTATTCTCGAATGACTCAAATCAGAGTGATTCTTCTTTTCCGTTGAGTAATATCAAATCGGTTTGCTGCGCACGTTGTAATCGCATTTATCGTTCGTTAGAAATAATCTCACAATCAGCAATCGTTTGAAATCGAGACCTTTAGCGAGCCTATAGGTACAATGCAAACCTAGAGCGAACCTACTACAGACAGGTAAGTTGCCTGTTCACCTCAAGAATACGTCAAAAAAAAGATGTAGTTTGTTGTTACGTTTGTGATATTAAGAACGTGAAACAACGACGAGTGAATGACCAGATGAAATTCTTAGAAAATAACACAATACAAAAACACGAAAGAAAGGAACTTATAATCTGAAATGAGTGAATTTACAGGCAACATTGCAATATGTTTGAATGCAGTGAACGTGATCGGCAATAAATTAAAGACGTATTTCAACATTATTCTGACACTGAATGGAATAAAATTTTAAGTTACTCCATATTTTACTATCAATTGTACATGCAGAATATTATCGTTGAGAGGATATGAAGCCGAATAGTTTCTGGAGACCATTTGAAAGACATCTACTTAACTATTAATGAAAATTTGTTGAAATTTCAAATCCTTGCGATTTCAGTTTCAAGCAACCTTCATCATAGCTATTGAAATCGAAATGAAAACGAATCATTGTCAATTGACACTAAATCTTGGACGGTCTCAGAACGATAACAACCGCATTAGAAGTTTGACGCTTCAAGTAGAAGAGAACCTTTCGTGCTTGTTTTATTGGATGATTGAACAACGAAACAATCGAAAACCAAGCGACTATCGCTACGGTAAACGTTACACATGAACAAACACATGGAATGCGTGGTAACAAAACAGACAAAATTTAGTGAATATGAATGACAGAAAATGGAATTGAATCGAACACAAACAGAAAACGTCCATGAAAAATTTCAGCGCAAAACAACGGCCCACTCAAAACAACGCATTTTCAGAGTCAGCCAATTTCGAGCAACAATCATTCGATCAATAAGTAACATGGAATGACAGACAAATCGTATTATTCGCAAAAAAATTAAAACATCTCTAAGAATTATTCATGATGGAAGACCACCGGTAATAAGTAGCAGAAATTGG